CTCTAGTGGAGGCTGGTGGAAGTGAGGGCCCTGCTGGGGCTGTGAAAGGGCCTTGGGCTTAGGCTGAGTCCGAACAGGCCGCTCCGCTCTGTGGTGGTGCTGTAAGCCCATGCCGGGCCTGGTGGGGGGCGAGCGTGCCAAGAGTCCCTGTTCAGAGGAGGCGCTGCTGTTGCTCCCTGAACTGGCGGCACTTCCTGTGCTAGTGGAGCGGCTGAGCCCCGGCACCCGGGACCCTCCGTACTGCTGGCCCCCAACCACCATGCCCCCAACATGATGGTGGTGACCTGATGGCCGGTGCTCATAATTGTTGTTCACATTGACGAGGATGACCTCGTGAGTTCTCTCCTGCTTGTCCTGGGGCCTGGGGGCCATGCGGGGTGCAGGGGGCCTCCGTACCACTGAGGGCCCCTCTGTATACTCGTTGTTGGAGCGGATGGCCTTGATTTGGTCCAGGGAGAGAATGGCGGCATGCTGGAGCTCCCGCTCGTAATCCGACCTCTGCCGGCTCTCTAGGGAAGGCTGCTGGATCACCACTAATGAACCGCCGGGGCCATGTTGACTTTGGAGCTCCATCTGGGGGGATCACCACTTCCGACATTCACCGTGGACTTGGCATGCATCGGAAAACCTGCCAGAGGGGGAAGATAGGCCGGGGAGAGACAAAGGAGAGGGAGGGAGGGAGGAGACATCATCAGACAGAGCCAAAACATGGCATAACTGGCAAACACACTGTCATGGTGAAGGAGGTTAACATGGCCATTTCAAATTCAAAGCCAAGTGGAAACCAATCACTATCAAAATGATCTCTTTCAATATGACTAAAGCAGCAGAAATAGCTCCTTACAACACTGATTACAGTATGAGGTGAATAAACATGTGTACTTGAGTATTGGAAGGTCTTTTTAAAGTTCACTCAGACTGTTTTCATCCTGTCAACATGACAATATGTCACTTTTGATCACCTTAAGTGAGGAAACCCGGGAAAATAGTTGACTATTAACAAGACTTTTGGTAGCTTCCTCCCCAATACGCACACATCTAAACTTCAGTAGGACCTACAAATACTTCCCCTGCTCATTTACATTTGTATGACTAGTTAACATTTAAATGCACCGCGGCGACGAAATGAGGACGCGATCCAAGGGAACTAAATGAGCTGCCTCACTTAGTATTCTATTACTACACCAAAAGGGATTTCAGGGAAACGGGGACAAAAGTAGAGCAGAGAAAAAAGCTAAGGTCAGACCAAGTTCCGACAAAATACAGACTTTGGTTGAAAAGCAACCGAGCGATTGGGAAAATGTCGAAAAAACTTAACGTACCGCTACGGACAGACACGACTTCTGAAGTTTATTCGAAGCAGATAATTCGTCTAATAACTGTTTATGCGATAAGCACGATCATAAATGTGGGTTTGTATTTCGTAGATGTTTAAAAGCAACACCGACTTGCATGAGGCCAGTTTCCCCCGTGAAGCACATATTAAATCTTACACTGCATATAAAAGCGATCAATTGTATATGTATTACGTTTTGCAAATAAACTAACGTGTTGTTTTTAATAGTCTTCGCGTCAAAGAGGGGCACTTTAAATTGGATTGTTTGCACACAGTGCATTCATAGGAGGAAACGTCGTGCGCATAAATAAAAGCAGGATCCTATAAAACACACAGAGCCGGAGATCAAGAGACATTAGAGGACGCATCCAAATAGACGGGGAAAAACTTATGAATGAAAACAACCGCCGTGGGGGGAAGGGTGTTTGTTACAGCAGAGCCACGGAAGGACATAGAAATCCATCAACTTCATCAACTGATCGCGAATAATTTAAGTCGCAGCGGGTGTTTTTTTCAGTGCCAAACATAGAAAATGGCACGTTAAAGTCTTGGGATTTGTGCACCAGTGTTACAAAGCACCTACAGCGGAGCATACTAGGTCGCTACGAGCGCTACTATCGGGTGATAAATAACGTAAAAGCACCATGATAAACGTACAAAAAAGCGTTAAATGCTAAGGAAGATACGTACCTATATGCAACCATCCATAACGTCGAATCCATCAAACTATAGCCAACCAAAACTCCATCCAAAAGGAAGGGGCAATGTCCAAGCGTAGGCTATAAGGTCTGATGCATAACATTCACAGTCTGTTAATCCAAGTGTATCCCTTTGCGTTATTCCCTTTTCCTGGAGAAGTTCAGCGCGGGTTTACGCATGCATTCGTCCCCGGATAAAACAAAGTAAATCCACGGTGGAGCTCAGATGGAGGAAAGGAACTGCTGCGCACTTGGGAGGCCGATCTGTAGGCAACCTAGTGACAGAAGTCCTGCAGGAATGGTAGTGAAATACAAAAAAATAGTCTTGCAGGAAACAAAACAAAACACGAGCTTATATCCAAGCTTTTCACCTCTTCCAGTGTCAGCGGAGGGTTCGGTTATTGTCGTTGCTTATGGAGTCTGCGCTCGTCTTTGGGTCGCAGACAGCGATGCACGCGCTACTGCTCGCGGGCCTGTTCAGCACTGAATGAATGGGAACGCAGGGCTCAGTGTTTGCTCCACAAGCCAACTCCCATTGGCCATTCACTCCACTGAAAAAGGATACATCGCATCCGCTCCTGATTCATTGGGCAGATGTGGAAGGCCGGGCGATAGAGATGTGTGCTCTAGTTAAGGTGGACCGGGGTTTTATTTTGCCTCTACGAGGGGGCTCATGGAAGAAAAAAAGACGACCAGTTTCCGTTCTTGTGGGCTATGAATAATGATGTGAATAAGGTTAATGTGACTAATAGTGATGTATGAGTGGGATATGTATCTAAATTCTTGCTGATTTGTCATTTTTGGTAAGCACAACTAGTTAAATCCCCTTTTATACATTTTTATTTAATTGTATAGTTTTTGCTCTGCTTTTAAAATGAACTGAAATACTAGATAGGCTACTATAGTATAAGGAGATACACAAACACACAGATACAAATTACACAAACAGAAAGACATTACAATAAATACATAAATTATTATAAGCATTACAACTTATGGCTACAACTATTAAACTAATTAATAGATTACTGGCATTTTCTTGATTTGTGTTGGCAACAGAAACTATGTTGATAACAAAAGAGAAAGTGAAAGTATATTTTATAAAGCTCAATGAAAATAAAAAAAAACTTAAGATCCTGAGCTGAACTGACTTAAACTTAAATCAGTATTTTAAACGTGTTTGAATGAAGGGGTTCAGACACTTTTTAAACATGTTAAGGAGCCCACCAAACATTTTGTAATATAGCACAACATGTAGTATCCATATGTAATTACATTTGTTCATAGACAAAAGACCTTCAATGGTTCGTAACCAGACAGTTTTTAAAAGCTTAAGTTAATAATTCACTGCTTAACAGACACCGACACAAAAACGTATTGTTACCATTTAACAAGTTAATCAAAGTTAAACTAGACTCCATAAAAAGATCCCTGCTGGTGTTTAGAAACCACTGTCTGGACAGACAATTGTGTGAGTTTATAGACATTCAGGAGGAAACATCAACAGGATGTGTCTCTGTTCTCTTGAAGGTTGCCATTACGCATTTAGGCATCAGAGGAAACTCAATGTGTCACTGTGAGCCTGCAGCTTGCATAACTCTGTGATATGGACATTTCCCCATAATTTCAAGCGTTATATGGGTCGATCTGTGAATGGGGGGAGGTGGTAACGGTGGTGGTTGGAGGTTTAGTGTTAGTCCCGGTCCACCTTAAGAAAAAAGCAGCCCTGCAGCCAGGGGAAAGACTCCCCCCCCCCCCCCCCCCTGCTGCACCCCCTCCTCTCTGTTCCTGACTGTCTGGTTTGATTGGTGTCGCGGATGCGCTACATCCGGATCCATGAGAAAAGGAAGTTCAATACAAAGTCAATTTATCCTATTCAAATGGAAAAATCAATAGATGAATGACCTCCAGTGCCATTTCGGGTCAGCAAATGCTTAAAAAAGAACAGAGGAAAAGCCCTAGTAGAGTTAACGGACTGTTAAAGCGACTGTGTGGCGCAGTAATGACAAGTTCTTCTTTGGCTGGATGTTAGAATTCAGCTTCTTGGTGATAAAGCAAATCCTGGTAGACCGACAGATGGCCGCCTGGATCCCGGCTCTTAGTGGTCGGAAGTGCGGACGGAAATCTCACGATTACAGCAATTAGCTGATTTTCCATGCATGGATGTGAATGTGATGAATATACCAGCCGCTGCTGTTTTTCTCCCCGTGGATATGGAGCAGCGGTTTCCCAAACTGGGGGTTTCTGAACCATTAGGGATTATTGAAGGGGTCCAGAAGGTCCCCAGATAGAAATACCAATTCCGTTTTTGTATTACATAAACATTGAATCAAGGGGAAACAAGGCATAATTCTGATTAAGGGAATCATGCCATCCAGAATCAAACAGTAATACAAGTCGTTGGTCTTAGTGATAACATTTAAAACTTCTGATTTGAATGCATAGTTTAAAATCCAAAAGAGAACACATTTTGTTGCACTGAAATCATGCAGAAAATACAGGTTTAGCTCAACTTTTGCTAAAAGCAAAAGTTGAGCTAAAACAGACACATTCATATAAAACTCTTAAAGTTCAGTAAAAACCTGCCCCAAACTAATTGCAGTGAAATGTAAGGACTTTAATATTATGTTAGCTATATGGGATTTATATACATTTTGTCTAGAATTTCAGTTTTTGCAGACTTTTCCAAGCTGTCTAATTCTGCTGTAAACTTAAAAATCACCAGAACTTATTAGCCTATTTGTGACTTTCATTCTGCTGTATGTTCTTTTGCTATTAAAAACACAAGGCAACCAAAGTCAATGAATATAATGCATTTAATACATTGTTACTTTTGTATATAATCAAACAAGCTCACTCTTCACTACTCAATTCAATTTTCAACATTAGAAACTTAAACCAGATTGTCCTGCTGAGCTAAACACATGTTTCGAAACCTATAAAGCAAAAACAAAATATTTCAAAGACCAGTTTGGGAATTGTTTATTTAGCACTTCATGTTCAGCTGGTTTACATGTCACTTCCTTATCATAATTATACAGCAAACCAGGGTAGCTGAAACCATTTATTTCCAAAATAACATTACATTTCCTTTGAGAAAAGTTCCTTAGTTTGACTTGTTCCATGGCAACCTGCTCAGAAGAAGCACAGGCCGCTGCGGTCCTGCTGATAGCTGATGTAGGACTGGATGAGAGAGTCGGGGATCCGGGGCTTCACAGTGTTCAGGGCACTTTCAAAGTGTCTGGCCTCGATGAGCTGAGCTTTGATGTCCTCTTGCAGGGCCAGTAGGGCAGCCTCTCTGCATACTGCCGTTATCTGGGACAAGAAACAGACACAGATATTCAGCTGTCAGGCCCAGAGCTCCATCCACTGAGCACCACTGAATCATGGGACCACAGTTAGAGGCTTCAACCACAGACTGTTGAGGGGAGATGTGTTATGGCACTGGAAAAGTACTTTATTTATCTTTCTTTGAGAAAAGCCTTCATCTCGTAAACATCAAAAGCATTACAGAGGGACACAGTCAAACCAACTGTATACAACTATACTGTATAAACAGACCCTAGAGACAAACATCTATAGAGAGGCGAAGTCCCGCCCTTCTACTTCCGACCCATGGGACCTTATTTCGGAAAAAGTATGTATTGAAGTCAATACATGGGGAGAGAAAGATTATCTTTCGATCCCGTTTGAATTGTACCACAAATTACACATATGATGTTTGTCAATCTTAAATAATCATTTCCATGTAAAAAAAGTCACAGTTTGTCATAAAACTGTTGAAATATAAGACTATGAAAAATACGCAACTAGAAAGACTACAAATCCCAGAATCCCGCATGCTGGCTCTTACGGAACCGACTAACTCCCCTTGTGTGTATGTACAGCTCTCAACATGCCCAGACTTGGAGTGATTTTCACCTCTTTTAATACTTTTCGCCTCATTCTGAAAGAAAGAAGTGAAATGTGCCAACGTGACGGCCGTCTTGGTGTGTGGTGCGAGACGGGAGATGTAGTTCATTGAGCGGTTTCACACAAAAAAAAGTGTTACTTCACAGTTTTACGACACATTTTAATTTTTTTGACTTGCAAACTGATCTTTTAAATTGACAAACATCATATGTGTAATTCGTGGCACAATTCAAACGGGATCGAAAGATAATCTTTCTCTCTCCATTGACTTCAATACATACTTTTTCAGAAATAAGGTCCCATGGAGCCCCGGAAAGGGAGGGACTTCGCCTCTCTATAGTGACCTGGGAACAAGACAACATTTGATCCTGGATAGAAATGCGTTTTAAACATCTGTGTTCATACAGTATTCATAAAGTGGTTTGTCATCAAAAAAACGTATGTCTATAAGGACAATTTCAGTTAAATATTACAATGAGTGCAGGTTAGGGTTTGAATGCTTTGTTTCCTTGATGACCAACATCATGATTTCAGAGATTTACAATACTTTGGCCATGTAAGAATAGGTGAAATGAACAGATGATTAAAAATAAAGCTAAATGTAAGGGATTTGTTTAACAGTGAGGTAGGATACATTCTTAGTTGTCTGGAGGAGTAAGATGTAAGAGAAGATAGCTGCATGCATTGGAAAAAAACTATCCGCTAAATGACTGAATATTTCCATGTGTGTCATAAAAATAGGTGCAACAGAGGGTTTTGTGTGTCTTAACATAATCATATAACCCTTAAATAATGACATTACAGGAAGGAACTGACAACAAACTGACTTCTTATCCATTTTGGAAAAGAGTAAGTGGAAATTAAGTTAGAAGCCCTGGAGACCAAATAATAATCTCATTATAGAGATCTCTTGTGTTGCCAGAGAGCCACATGTTGTTGGAACAAGAGCTAACTCACAAGCTAATAAGGACGACAAAATAACAGCTAAGGATGAAATCGACTAGACTTTGATTAAAACTGGACTTCAATGTGCAATGTAACAATGTAACGTATGTAGAACAACTGTAGTTTTCCTGTTCTGCCCTTTTAGATTGCATTATACTAATCTGATTATTCTTGCATCCAGAACAGCACTTTCAATAAAAAAAAAAGCTTGTTTAAACAATGTTCTTTTCTGCAGCTTCTTTCTTTACTACAGTACTGATGGCATTATGCAACGGTTGAAATGGAGGAGTGCTGCAGGCACTGCGGTGACCTTTTGCGAGAGATTTTGCACGCGGCAGAGGAGTGACTCACTTCCGAATTGGTGGCGATGGCTGATGAAGGCCAGGCACCTTTCCCAGCACTGCCACCCTCCTCCTCCTCCCTTTCTAGAAGCCCAGCTTTGTTCTGAGCCAAGGCAGCTTACACAACTCCCTCCAACAAAAGCCATGCAGGAAACTATTCGCCTGTACAACCACTGATAACGTCTGGTGGGAGGTCAGTGGGACAGGCAGTCATGTGATGAAGCAGAGCTGAGGAATATTGAACAGTGAAAGCATGCATGTAGAGCAATGTGGGTCCACTGAGATTGTTCACTGGACCGAAGCTGGTCACTGCCCTTCAGCTGCTCTGAGTGACAGGCACGCTGATACTGAATATTCACAAACTGTGAGCAGTAGCCTACTAACAAGTTCACAATTATCATGTTTTTGCACTTTCCCTTTACACTGGCTGTGAGGCTTCATGTGCATTTGATAAATAAAACACTGTGAAACTAGATTATTGGCACACACAAAACGGGTCAACAGACCGTAGGAAAGTGCATAACATTAATGGAAGTGCAGTAAGCTTGATGAAAGCTGTGCTTTTTTTACTTTTTAATTAAGGCTATTTTTTCAGATTTTATTATATATAAATAAGCAACATAATCGTTTATTATAATAGGAATATATACACTATTTATTCTGTAAGCAGATGTAGGGGACTGGCTAATGTTTGTAAGCTAGCAAACACATTAGCCTACTGCAAGGGCTGTAAATACTGCTCCCACCACAAGTCCACTTTTATCTACTGTGCCTATTGTTTTCCCACAGGAACATACCTATAACTACATTTTGATGTGATTATTTGAGGAAAAGAAAGGTGGGTAAGGAGACGAGCAAGATTGCGACAATAAATGTTTGCTAATATAGCTAGCTTGCGAGGATTAGCCAGGCTTTCTTCACATGTATGATATGATTTGAAAAGGTTTTATGTCAACATTATCTATCATTGATTACCTTTATTTGTTGTTTAGGTTGGACAAGTGGTGTATAATGGGACTATGTTATCAAAAGTGTTAGCCCCTAAAATAGCATAAAGAACAGCATAGCTAACATCCAGAATTAAAAAGGGAAGGAATTAAACACATTTTAAATAGTCTTTCAAAAAGGAAAATCATTTGTCAGTTTGTTTTGTAGTAAATATGCTACTCAGTACTTCTTAAACTGAGATAATTAAAACATTTTCCATGATTGCCACACATATAAAGTAGGCTATAGGCCTATGTGAAGAGTCTAGTCTAACTTCCAAGTTTATAATTTAGTATTTGAAAACAGTTATTAATCTAGACTTTCTATGGTAATGTTCATACAAGAACTAGCCTGGTGTATTTTCCTATTCTTCATTAACAACTTTAAATTGCAATAAAGTCATGATAATAAATCCCCACATTTGAACAAAATGTGATATCATCTGAAACACATCCAATGCTCAGACTGAGTGGAGACCGGAAAAAACACCGCAGAGGTTGTCAACTGTTAAAGCACATGACGGTCATGGCTTTTTTTCAAGGCCAGCGAGTAAAATGAGGGGAGATAGCTGTTTCAATGTGCTCTGGCTCAGCTAGCATGCAGAGCTCAGGACAGGTGCTTTGCAGATGTCAGGATGTGAGGCCTATTCCCCCCCCCCCCCCACCCCTTCTTCTTCTTCAGTTTCAAGCCAATGAGCAACATGATTTAGGCAGGGTAAACACACAGGGCCGGGTTAATTTTGTACGAGGCTTTCCCATCATTCAAGTAATTTGGGCCTGTCAGTAATAATGATGCCAAACAATGAGGCCATGCATCCCAGTTCCCTGTTTACAAACGGAGAGAGGGCGAGGGAGCGAGAGAAGGAGTCAGAGAGAGAGAGAGAGAGAGAGAGAGAGAGAGAGAGAGAGAGAGAGAGAGAGAGAGAGAGAGAGAGAGAGAGAGAGAGAGAGAGATGCCACATGTTGAACAATGTGATTTAGTGTTGTTTCCAAGCAACATCCATAAACAGGAACAGACAAACGTTGGAGCACAATCAAACTGTAATTTCTTATTTACGTTAAAACTTGACTTAGAGGGAATGTTAGCCTCCTCGTGCCTCAATCTCATGATTCAACGGTTAATAATTATTTGTTGTTTACTTCCACAACACCCCTCGGGTTTATAAAAAAAAAAAAAGGGGTGGGGGGGGGTGTCCGGAGCTGCTCAGAAGTACACAAACGACACACACACAGGCCCCCACATTCATGCTTGCTGGGTTTATGAGCCGGTCTGTGAAGGCGATCAACAAGCCAGTGTTTCCCGCTGTGTGTTTGCCCGTATGAGCCTTGAAAAAAAAAATAAAGCCACAAAGGCAAACAGGGCTAGCGAAAGAACCAGTCTGTTTGTAAACGTGAAGGCATTCCTAGACCCGAGCCAAAAGTCCAGTCCCTTCAGCACCCGCTTGATACCCCTAACCCCCCCCCACTTAAAAAATCTACCACCCCCTAAAGATGGCCCCCCGTACTCCAGCGAGGAAAAACGAGAAAACTGCAAATGCACAGAAATTAGATGTGTGAGGGGGGGGGGGGGGGCTTCAGTGGCCATGAGTGCTGACTTGTGGCAGGCCAAATAAATTATAGATCTCTCTTTTGAAAAAAAAAGTTTTATTGCGATGCAGACGTTATTTTTCATTCCCTTCATAAATTATGTCAGCAATCACTTAAACATATGGAGGAGGGGGGGGGGGGGGCTAAGCTGATGCATTGCAGCGGCGGCTCTCTGGTGATGTGGGCGAGCTCAGAGTTCCTGGAGGTGGCATGTCGCCAGTCGTAAAGGCAAAGCAAACGAAAAAGTAAAGTAATGATCAAGGGCCTCTCAGTTTGGAGACCGGCGGAAAACTTGCTGACTCAAGATGACCCCATAGTTTGTCCTGATAGTGAGTCGAGGAGAGAGGGTTTGACGCCAGTTTGTACAGTAAGCTCGACTATCAGAACTAGTGTGGGTCAACAGTAATGCCCGTGACTAACTCCTAAATATTCAAAGACTCATTTTACCATCCACATTAAATCCAGTCAAATCACTTTGGCAAGAGTCTAAGGTCGGTGTGTCAATGTGTCTGATGCCCAAGTGGATTCAAGCAGAAAACAAAAC